GGGGGGGAGGGGGTGTCTGATCAAATGGGCTCCTCTGATGGCTATTTGGAATAGAAATGTTTCCAGATGACATAGGAAATAATTACTGCACATCAGTGACCTCACTGAGCTCCGCTTACGGCAGATTCTCCATCCCATTTCCCTGCTGCACTGACAGGCTTAGCCCAGCTCCCCTCGGCACAGAAGACCTGGCTCCCAGTCTTGTAAAAACTAAGACACTAAGCCTTCCACAAAACGGTGTGCATATGCATCGGCAAATGTAGATTACCTTTACTTTTGCTTTATTTAAAGTTCTTTTGATTGGTTGTGAAATATCAGCACGCACATACACACACATACACACACACACACACGGCAAAGACTGCTACCCTTTTCTGTACACTTGAAACCCACGCTTCAGTTTTTATGCCAGCTCAGTGTATGTCCATAGCATTCCTACAGTGTGCCCTTGTGCCATCTCTGTTTTGTAGAAAAGAAAACTGAGTCACACAACTGACCCAAGGGGGACTCAGTAGTGGGATCAGGTGGGACCCAGGCAGTGACGGCATCCACACTCCTAGCTACAGAGCTCCACACACAGTCCTATCATCTGCTGCGGCCTGTGCAGACGTTAAAGGCTCTTTGTGAGCAGGCACAGCGGTGCACGCTTTTAATTCCAGAACTCAGAAAGCAGAGGTAGATGGATCTCAAGTTTGAAGACAGCCTGGTCTACATAGCTGGTTCTAGGACAGCCTGGGTTACATAGAGAGATCCTGTCTTAAAACAACAACAAAACCCATAAATAAGTAAATAGAGTATTTACATGAAAGAATAAAGAAAAAGGAGCTCCTGACTCCAGAAACAATGTGGCCGAAACTGAGCAAGAGTCCAGTCACAATGCCCCTCTACCATAACAGACTGGGTTCCAAATTGTAAACTAGAATAAACCTTTCATCTCCCCACCCCCCCAAAAAAAGATAAGGAAAAAGGGGAGCTGCTAAGTGACACCACAGCCCTTGAGTACTAATACAAACTCATGATGTCTTCAACTACTTAAAAGCATCAAAAATTAAAAGTCCACAGATGTAACTCAACTCAGGGTTTTCATCTAAAATGAACTAAAAACAAGCCACTTTTGTACCAACATGCACCCTGCCCCAAGCACCCCAGAGTCTTTCAAGACCTCTTGGATAAATGTGTGCATGAAGCCAGTAAATTTCATACAGAAAAATTCAGGACAGACCTCATTTGTGAAGTAATTCTGGCGGGGGTGGGAAATCAAGGCAAGAAAAGTCAGCTGATTGGAACTTGGGCCCTAAGCACCCTTTGCAGGATGTCAGCAGCATAGGGAGCTGGGTAAGCAATGCTAGAAACGCTGTCCAAGAAAACCAGGCTGCGGGAAACTAACTCCACAAACCTAACACCACACAGCTGTGTTTTCTCAGGAACAAGGGAAGAGGTCGGGACATAAGAGGGCATATATATGGATGGAAAGAAACCTGGACAGGAAGTGAGAGTCCCACACTGAACCTGCCACCGTCCAGATATGGGGCTTCTCCCTAGTGCACCTAGCACAACCCTACAGCCTCAGGTGCTTAGCATCCACATTCCACCCGGTAGGCCCCATTCTCCCTGGATGTGGGCATCACTCACCGCTCCTCCATGAGTTCCCGGATAGAGGCTACTGTGGGGCCAGATCCCAGGTGAGTGTAATATGGGCCTTCATCTTTCTCCACTATTTGTTCTGCAGAAATACCAAGAGCAAGCATTATTGGGAGACAATTAAGGCAACACTAATTCAGAAAAAGGCAAACCACTAATAGGAAGTTAATAAGTACATTACAAACAGCATATAAACATGTAAAAACTGTGTTCAGTCCCTATCAGGAAATACACAATAAAATTAAATTCACAATAAAACATATCACCAAACGGGAAAACTTAGAAATCTGATAAATTCAAGCATCGTCAAGACTGTGGTCTACCATCTGTAATTCAGCTCCCCATCAGCCAACAGAGCTGAGTTCTGTGCTTCAGGACAGAGCGACTCTGCTTCTGCACACACACTCTGACCAGGAGTCCGCGAGCTGTGGCAGACACACTACAGAAGGGAACCAAACGCCAGGGTCACGGCACACGGCAGTAGCATCCCCAAACACATTGCCCATCAACAGATGAAGAAGTATGTGCTACATCCAGATCCATCAGAAAAGCACTGCCCCAGGAATGAGTAAGTTCTCTGCTGTAGCAATGGGGTTGGATGCAGGACTTTCAGCACACTGCCGTGGTCCGAATAAAAATGGCTCCCATAGGCCCATAGTGGAGGGGCACTATTAGGAGATGTGGCCTTGTCGGGGTGGGTGTGGCTTTGCTGGAAGACGTGTGTCACTAAAGCCTGCTGCCCGCAGATCCAGATCCAGATCTCAGCTACCTCTCCAGCATCATGTCTGCCTGGACTCAGCCATGCTTCTCATCACAATGGACTAAATTTCTGAAATGTAAGCCAGCACCACTTAGATGTGTTCCTTCATAAGAGCTGCCATGGTTGTGGTGTCTCTTCAAAGCAGTAAAACCCTACAACACATACCACACAGAAACTCTATCATTATTATTCCCAGTGTCCTTAAAGAAAATTAAGACAGTGTTTTCCGAAGTTACCCTGGCTGGATTTGCAACTGAAATCCTCTTGTTTCAGGCTCCTGAGTAGGCAGCTTACAGGCAGTGCCTCCAGGCCCAGCAGTGGTGAAATTCTGGTACAGCTATCACATAGACCTTAGTAAAATACAGTAGACACGGTAGATTTGGGGACGCATGCCTGTAATCCCAGTATCTGAGAGATCAGGATTCAAGGGCAACCTCGGCTACACAGCAAATTCAAGGCTACCCCAGGCTACGAGAGACCCAGTCGCAAAAACTAACATCTAGAAGAGGCAAATTCACATGCGAGGAGGTAAACCAGACATCTGAAGGAGAGGTCATCAAGGGCCGAGAGGAGCGGGAAGTGGGCAGTGACTTCAACAGGTACAGGTCTGTTTAGCGGACAGTTCTGCAGACAACAGGGAAGGCCGAGCAATGCAGCATGTGTATCTAACGACCTCATCGACATGCATGTTGACACACGGGACTCAGAGATCCATCTACCTCCTGACTGTGGGATTAAATGTGGGGGCACCACTGCCTGGCTATATAACTTTGTTAGATATATTTTAACATGGTTTAAAAAACAGAAATGGGGCTGGTGATCTGGGTCAGTGGGTAAAGTTACTTGTCATGCAAGCCTGGAGACTTGAATCCCTCCCCAGGACCCAAACAGTAGAAAGAAATAATTGATTCTTGCAAGTTCTGACCTTTGCAACCACACATTCCTCATCATAAAATGTAATAAAAATTTTAAAATAATATAGAAACAAAGGACTGGTACACCCTGACATTTATGAGGCTTGAAAACACTGTAAAGGGAAAAGACGCCACAAAGGCTCCTCGGTGTATGAATCCATTCACGCAAACTGCCCCGCAGATCCACCTGTAACAGAGAGCGGCGGCTGCAAGGGAAACGATGAGGAGCAGCAGCTTAGCGGCATGGGGTTTCATCGGGGCAATGAAAATGTTAGAACTAGACAGGAACTGGCCACACACTGTGTGTGCACTCACCACTTACTGTGACATGGCTAATGTCATGCATGCTAGGTGAAGTTTATCTGCCAAAAGAAAATGAACTATTGACTCATGTATCTTTTTAAATGAGTTTAAATGAATTCTTCAAAGAGAAAGAGTCAGACTCCAAGAGCAATAATCACTTGGGCACGTGTCCTGAATGGATACTGTAAGGCTAACAGGTAAACTGTAACTGGAAGCCATACACACACTGTAAGTTGTTAAGTTTGGCTCCTGTCAGTGGGGACAACTACTCACAACGGAACAGGAAACTGGTGGAAGCCCACTGAGGAGGGCTTAGGAGACTAGCAAGTAGTGTACAAACAATAATCTCTAACTTTTAAATGTGTGTAACTATGACAACATGAGAGTATGTTGAAATGCATGAAATTAATAAAATTACAAACAAATAAAATGTGTTGTCTTTTAAACAAGTAAGAGCTGGGGTCTGTGAGACGGAGCTCAGTGGTTAAGGCACTTGCCATCAAGCTGGATGATGACCTGAGTTTGATCCCTGGAACCTCTGGAGTGAAAGAAAAGAACCAACTCCTAACAAACCGCCGTCTGACTTCCAAACACACAGACACACAGACACACACACACACACACACACAGACACACACGCTAAACACATAAAAAGTTCAGAATAAAACCATGCTGCAAGCCATCATTTGTGATCTAATTCCATAAAAAATTCTGGTCACATGCACCAAAGCAAGTGTGAAAGGATTTCACAGTATTATGAGCAACAGTTAAAACTGGGAGCAACACACGAGGGTGGAAAATCTGTGCGCAGCAGAACACGCGGAAGTGCACCCCAGTGACGGCACTAAGAAGAGAGTTTCCAAAAAGTAATCAGGCCGTGGAAGCAGAGCCTTGGGGCGAGGGAGAGGATCAGAGTTCAGCTACTACCACCCACACGAGCAGCGCTGCCTCTAACTCTAGCCAGGGGGTATCAGCATGCATGTGTATCCACGTTCTGGTTCTTTCTCTCTCTCTCAATGCACAGTTCTTAGAAGAGACGGAGTCTGGGGAGGGGTCTGTGGGTAAAGCGCTCGCAGTGCAAACATGAGTTAGGAGCTCAGATCCCCAGCAACCACTAAGAAGCTGGGCACGGCCACTTCCCCAATTTAGGGAAGCGGGACCATATTTGTGTGTGTGTGCAAACAAACAAACAAGCGGATCTTTTGCGTTCATCAGCCTAGCCACACTGATGACCTCCACAAACACTGAAGACATTGACTCAGAAAAGCGGAAATGATCAAGAAGTTACTGGATGTTGACTTCTAGACTCCACACACATGCACGCGCGCGCGCGCGCGCGCGCGCACACACACACACACACACAAGACTCAGAAATCTTAATTCTGCTTGTTCTCTGCTCTGGACCAAGTGAGGACACATCAGGGAAGAGCTCGTATCCCAGCTAGAAAAGGAGCTCTCACCAGTTACAGGGCCTCTGTGCATCTCCAGCTGCCAAACTGTGAGGATGCTGGATTAAGCTGTCCACTGTGCGGCATCTGTGTTGTAACAGCACACACTGACTAACACATGCGCACAGTCCAGCAACTGTAGAGAGGATGAATCTATCAGTCACAGCTGGGGTGAGTCAGAAGCGCACCTGCAATCATAGCCCCATGGCCAGCGTACTACCACAGACCACAACGAGAGACTGAAGCCAAACCCTGAACCAGTGAAACTAGACTACTCCATTTAAACATTCAAAGATAGGTGCCACTAAACCATGCTGCTTACAAAACCATCCGGAAGTGGCAAAATGAGACAGGACACTCAATGAATTCCAACCTCAGAAAACACCATTTTCAAGCTGGGCCTTGGTAGCACACACCAGCACTCCGGAGGTGGTGGTTGACAGATCTGAGCTCAAGGCCAACCTGGTCTATACAGAAAAATCCTGTCTCAAAAAACCAAAAGAAAAAAAGAAAAGAAAAGAAAAGAAAATGCCATTTTTCAAGAGAAAAGGCAGTGACGTGGACATTCGTTTGATAAATTTTCACGGAACTTTAAATAAAGATTTGTAAGCTGTCAAGAATTCATAACTATAATGTAAAAACAAAAAACATTAAAAGCCTAAGAGGCTGGAGAGATGGCTCAGGAGTTAAAAGCACTTGCTGCTCTTCCCGAGGGCCTAGGTTCAGTTCCCTATACCCACATGGTGGCTCAGAACCATCTGTAACTCCAGGTCTGATGCTCTCTCTGGCCTCCAAGGGCACCAACCATACATAGGGTACAGATACACATGCAGGCAAAAACTCATCCATATAAAAATATAGAATTTCAAGAAGTCAAATCCAAACTCATTTTGTATAGAACATTACACTCTCTTATATGGTAGAGACAAAACACGATACCCAGTTGCTCCCTTTAAAGAGCAGATGCTCCTGCTGGACAGACAAGAGCCCCACACGATCTACCTTATGGCATGTCCCATGTGGAAGGGATGAAATTTTCAATGCTTGATTTTGGAACAACTGGGCAGATTTATTTGATTCATAGTTAGAAATTTAAAGCCACCCCTCCCCCACTCCCCCACTCTCCCCAACTCCCCACATCCCCTCCACCCACAAAATCAGAGTTGAAGACGGCTCAGAATTTAAGAGCACTGGCTGCTCTTCCAGAGGACCAGTGTTCATGCCCAGCACCCTTGTCAGGCAGTTTACAACTGTCTGTAACTCCAGCTCCAGGGTATCCAATGTTCTCTCGGGCATCTGAGAGCACTTCCAACATACATGAACACATACACACACACACACACACACACACACACACACACGCGTGCGCACACACACACACACTATAAATAAACTTTAAAAAAGCTGTGCGGGCGCTGAAAAACAAGCAAGCGAACAGAAGAGAATTCAAACAGTTACATAAGAGGGAAGGACTCAAACATGACAAAATCCACAAACCACTGATTTAAAACAAAAGACTCTGACAAATTTAAGTAAAGGGAACCTTATAGCAATCACAACCAAAAGTCAACTGCAGACAAATATCATGCTGGGGAGAAATATCTGGAACAGCACACTAATTTCCTTAATCTATCGAGCTCCACCACAGCTCCGTAAG